TCTCATAGTTCTTATATTAAGGATGACTTAATATGTATTATTTGCCTTTGCCTTACAGCATGATGTTGAGATCTGATAAATATAATCTTTGATATTATGTTAAAGTTATCCCTTAAGCAAGTAATTTTTAAAATACAGAACGTATTTGAGAGACTCATTTTAAGAAAGATATGGAAGGTGCTGCATCTGACTGTCTCAGAAAGTTTTAGATAACGAAAGATCCAGAATAAACACAAACTAGGAGAAGTTTTAGGTGTATGACACTTTATTTTTCTGTAGATTTGTTCATGTAACAATTATCTTTAAATTCACTGAGATTTGGGGTCTAAAAATATATCATTAGCAGTTAATAAAGTATACTTTAAAAGGTCAGACAAATTTCAAACCACTATTATTGAAGAATCATATGGGAACTGTTATTTAGGTCATTCACTACTCTTTGTTTCCAATCCACTATTATCTGATTAGTATCCAGTAGTGGCTGAAGTTGAATGACAGCTTGACAATACCAGTCCAGAGCTTAGACAAAGGAGTCTGAACCTAGACAGCAGAAGGAGGGTAGTAGATAATCTCATGGCTTCACCTGGAATCCTATTAGAAGGATTGAATCTCAGGCTCCCTCTTGCTTCTGTGGGATCAGACTGTGCATTTTTAATAAGATGCTCAAGTCATTTTAATAAGGGTTGATAAGAACTACATACAGGATTTAGGATTGGGGTGGATAATGTAAATTAGAGAGAAGGTTTACCTTCTGCATACCTCTAGACTAACATCAGCTGGCCACCATGGGCTCTGGTTACAGAGATTCCCAGTTCCCTGTTGCTGGGGTATCCTTTGGAGTTTAGTCATTATTACCCAGCAACTCCCCAGTGGCTTGACAACTTTGTCCTTGTAAGAATGCACTCGTGGTTGAAGTTACTAGTGTTTGCATTCGTGCTGTGGTAAACATGAGACTTCATGACAAGTATATTAGTCAAGGTGGAACCCGGGAAGTAGACCCAGCAGGAACTATGTAAGGAGATTTATTGCAAGGAATAAATTATAGAACAGGAGAGTGTGGCTGTGCAGTTTTGCCTTGTGTGGGGTTGAGTCCGTGAGGGAGGATGGACATGTTGCGCATGTACAGATGTTATTGCTCGGAGTGGATTTTTCTCCATCTCTTAACGAGGTCTCAGCTCTGCTTTGAAGATCTGCCCCTGTCACTAAAGTACTTTGATTAGGGCCCATAATGACATCATCTGTACAATCCCCTTAGAGTAACACGTGAATTGGTATTTGAATAACTTGGGACTTTAACCTAATCAAAGTATCAAGGAAGTAATCACAACATGAGTAAAGTCATTCTTTTATAATCTTATAACTGTTCAAAAGATGGTTAATGTCTCCTTACATCTATTCCTACCCATTTTTCAAGTGCACCTGTCATGCTACGTGAAGATCCTAGCATTAACCCAAGCAGATGTGGTTCCCATGATTAGGGAGAGGAACTTGTGGCCCTCATCCATCCATTCAGAAGGTGTTAGCCTAACAGCATCAGTTTTGCCATATAAATGTTTACTGAGGTGTGAATGAAAGTTGAGCTCTCTGACTTCATCTACAAAACCAAATTTGAATGCTAGGAGTACTTGAGAGCTTAAGAATGTTCTGGATAAAGGGAGAAAGTTAGACTTCAGCAGGAAATCAAGTACCTTTTCTGAAGAAGACCTTAGGGAGGAAAAAAAAGGACCCAATATTAGGAAGTTCTGGTAATTTGTTGAGATTTATTTTCTCATTCTGATTACGGAGCCATATTTTATGAATAATTTAGTGCTTTAAATGTAATATTCTTTTTTTCACAGAGAGCTCCTCTTTTCTACATTCTGTGTTTCCTACGGTGGTACAACATATTAATTTTTTTATAATATATATGTATTTCTAGATCAAATTTTATTATTTTCTTTTGTGTTTTGGTCTCTTCCTTCATAGATGAGATTGCTAGTTTACATTTTAAAATATAAATTGTAGCCGGGTGCCCGTGGCTCAAGCCTGTAATCCTAGCTACTCAGGAGGCTGAGATCTGAGGATCACGGTTCAAAGCTAGCCCCGGCATGGAAAGTCCGTGAGACTCTTATCTCCAATAAACTACTAGAAAACCAGAAGTAGCGCTGTGGCTCAAGCGGTAGAGTGCTTGCCTTGAGGTGAAGAGCTGAGGGATAGCGCCCAAGCCCAGAGTTCAAGCCCCAGGACCGACCAAAAAAAAAAAAAAAAACACCAAAAATGTAAGTTGTATCATGATGCTGGTAACATTGTAAACTGTATGATAGATACATATTTTTCTCATGATAGTACACGTATTGAGCATTGTTTTCCCTAATTTATCTTTGGTTTGTTGTTGCTGTATTATCAGTCAATTGGGAGGGACTGATCTTTTAGCAAAACTGACTTGAGTGTGCTACTTCAGGTAATCCTGCCTTAGCTGTTTCTCTGAACTAAACTTGATCAGGGAGTCTTCTGCTTCCAGGTAACTTTACTTTTTTTTTTTTTTTTTTAACACAGAGGTCCACATGAAGGACAAAGCATTTTGCCCTGCAGGGTGGGCCCCTTGATTTCAGTGAACATCATTTTTGTCACCCTGTCTGAGATACTGCTACTAGCCTTCTGGTACTTTTCATTACATTGTTTCTTGCATGGTTTTGGCCTTGTCTCAGCAGTCTGAATACCCTTCTTCATAGTTTGTGGGCTGAAGTTGATACCTCTCTCTGAGTTTTTCGAAAAATTGAATTTGTGGAGCTATTTTGCATCATTTTTCTGGATGTTCTTGTATAATTTCTAGGAAAGAAGAAGAAAGATATTGACTTAGTTACACTTGTACTAGAAGTAGAGAGGTTTTGTTATATTTTTAATCCTAATATATAAAGACACCAGTAGAATACGAAATTGTATCCTTTTTCCCCTCAAGTTCCTTGGCTTGGCATTTAAAATTCTCCTCTGTCCAGATTAGCTTCATACCACTTTACTTTTTAAAAATATATTATACTTTTTTTTTTTCTTTTTTGGGTCCGGTCATGGGGCCTGAACTTTGGGCCTGGGCACTGTCCCTCAGCTCTTCAGCTCAAGACTAGCGCTCTACCAATTGAGCCACAGTGCCACTTCCAGCTTTTTTCTTTTTGCTTATGTGGTGCTAAGGAATCGAACCCAGGGCCTCAGGCATGCAAGGCAAGCACTCTACTACTGAGCCACCTTCCCAGCCCCTATACTTCTTTTAAATTGTACAAAGTTATTTAGCTATGTCAGTAGTAGGTCCTGCCAGATGTAAGTGGCTCATACCTATAATCTTAGCTACTCAGGAGACTGAGATCTGAGGATCAGAGTTCAAAGTCAGCGCCTTGATACTATATTTCTAATTAACCAGCATAAAGCTAGAACTGGAGGTGTGGGTCAAATGGTATAGTACCAGTCATAAGCAAAAATAAGCTAATGCACAGTACCTTGAGTTCAAGACCCAGTACTGACATGAAAAATTTAAAAATATTGGGCTGGGAAGGTAGCTCAGTGGTAGAGCGCTTGCCTTGCATGCATGAGGCCCTGGGTTTGATTCCTCAGCACCACATAAGCAAAAAGAAAAAAAGCCAGAAGTGGTGCTGTGGCTCAAGTGGTAGAGTGCTAGCCTTGAGCTGAAGAGCTGAGGGACAGTGCCCAGGCCCAGTGTTCAGGCCCCACAACCGGACCGCCCCCCAAAAAAGAAAAATTTAAAAATATTAAAATAATAATAAGTATCGTTTTTCTATAATTTCCCTCACTTTGCAACTCTAGACTTATGTTTCAGTTGCCCATATCAATTCTTTCTTCACCTCCAGGTATACCATTATTAATAAAAATCCTATCTGGAGATCAAGAACTCCATTAAATACTACCAAATTCTTAAAAACTTCCCTTTAATCTCAACATGTTATACTGTCTTTGTGTGTTTTTACAGGAGTTGACTAAATTCTCTTGTAGAGAATGCTTTTGTTATTTGAATAGCATGTCCCTTTGCTCCCACTTGAACAAAACCCTATAGCTTGGTCATATTTGCAATTTGCTTAGGTCTGAGCACAAAACATTGTGTAGCATTTGATGAAGTAATAAAAATCATGCAATATACCCAAATTATGAATAATGTGACACCATTCCCTCCCATTTCTTGTTGATGGACAATATAACATCCACAGAAGTCATGTTTCCCTCCTTTCTCTCTTTTTCCCTCTCCCTCTCTCCCTCCCTCCCTCCCTCGCTCCCTTCCTTCCTTCCTTCCTTCCTTCCTTCCTTCCTTCCTTCCTTCCTTCCTTCCTTCTTTCCTTCCTTCCTTCTTTCCTTCTTTCTTCCCATCCTCTCCCTCCTCCCTCCCTCCCTCCCTCCATCCCTCCCTCCCTCCCTTCCTTCCTTCCTTCCTTCCTTCCTTCCTTCCTTCCTTCCTTCCTTCCTTCCTTCCTTCCTTCCTTCCTTCCTTTCTTCCTTCCTTCCTTCCTTCCTTTCTTTCTTCCTTCCTTCCTTCCTTCCTCTATAGCCAAAGATTCCTACATCTTATATACAAGGAGGTGATTGCACAGGTATGTATTTAATCAGACAGACGCTCATACTGTGTTTGATTATTTGAATTGTCTTATGTCAATACAGAATAATTTGTTCTTGACTTTTTTTTACAAGTTCTTGGTAACTATTAAATAGACTATAAAACAAACAAACAATACCCATAGAAAATATCAGCTTCTTTACTCCTTAATACTCAAATAGCAAAGCTCTGTCATGATACAAATGCATAATATAGCAAGCATTGCTAAGTATTAACTTTTCAATGCAAACCAAAATAAAAGGAAAAGCAGAAGCTAAAAAATGTTCTCTAATACACACACTCTTGTTTTTATAAGTATAGCTTCTTTTCTTTCTTTTGAGAAAATAGTAAATTTGAGAATCTTCTCCATATTATTTCATTTAATTGAGGCTCTTACCAAATGTAATTTACATTTAATTTCCTTTTGTAGCTTTGAAAGCAGTATTTGATGAGAAAAACCTGTTCCCCAAAGAAATTCTGGATCGTGAAAGAAAAGCCAAGCAATTATGTGAGGAAACAAGTTGTGAAGTGAAGATAAAAAGAAATAAGAAGCAATTATAATTAAAAGAAAAATAAACATTTCATTGGTACACAAAGCACGTATATAAAATGTGGAACCAGAATCAAGACTCCAGTCCTTTCTTTTCCTGTGCATTTGAGTTTCTGGAAGCTTCACATTCAGAAGATACCTGGTGCATTCATTGCTTTCTCAGAATTCTTAACACAAACGCCACTGTATTGAAGAAAGGGGAATGCCAATTACCTATTCCCAAATGTTTCAATGTGAACAATAGACAAAATAACCTATCCTGTGGCCCTTCTAATTGCTTCCATAGACAAATGGTTTGATCTTTTTTACTATGACAAATCTGCATTCAAATGCGTAGAAAGCATTGATGGTGAATATCTCAAATTTTGAAGAAGGCAATCTTTCCCACATCTTTCTACTTTCTGGAATTAAAAAGAATGACTCTGATAAAGCCCATTAGAGCTTGGCAAAGCAGCATTTCTAGCATACTTTGTTTTAATTATACAAGTTCACAAAGTGCAGTGTGATAATTTGATACCAATGTATAAGATGCAATGACCAAATCAGGATTGTTAACTTATCTCTTTGATCACTGTGCTCAAGACTAGCAATCAATCAACTACCCCTGTAGTGAACCTTGTAACCATCCACTAACAGCAACTTTGTCTATCAAATTAATTTATGTGTATACCACTCAGATCATAAGATGATGTGGCCAGGAATATGCCAATGGCATAGATTGTTACTTGGGCTTATTAAGATCAGTGTGTGTGTGTGTGTGTGTGTGTGTGTGTGTGTGTGTGTGTGTGTGTGTGTGCACTGCTCCTGGGGCTTAAACTCAGGGCTTGGGTTCTGTCCCTGAGCTATTGTGCTCAAGGCTAATGCTTTACTACCTGAGCCACAGTTTCTGGATTTTTGGTGGTTAATTGAAGATCAGTCTTATGGACATTTCTGCCTGGGCTACCCTTGAACCGCGATCCTCAGATCTCAGCCTTCTGAGTAGCCAGGAATACAGGTGTGAGCCACTGGCTTTTGGCTCTTTGAACATTTTAAAAAGTTTTATTAACATGTAATAATTGCATATGTCCATGTAACTGACATTTTGTTATACACATATATGCTGTGTACTACTAATAATCTTTACTGATGGATATGATCTCTACTTTTATATTTTGTTGTATTGTTCATTATAAATAAGTTTGATAGTACAATTAGAGAGGTTCTGATATCATCTAAAGGATTTCCTACATAGGTATTCAAGTGGGAAAAACTTGGATCTGAGACTCACTACTTCCATGTTGACCCATTTGTTTTTTTGTATGTAACATTTTCTACGAAACTAGTATTAGTGTTATTCTCTGTACTCTGTAGAAAACTTAGCAAATTCATCTTCTGCTTCTTCAGTGAATTAGCATATATTTATATTTTAAAGAGCCTTCCAAAAATAGTTGTTGTTTAGAAGAAACCTGTAATAACATATGCTATTAAAATAAATGATTGACTATAGGTAAGGTTCTACTTAGAATAGAAACACAAAAGTTCAATGCATTTGAAGCTTACAATAATCACACACACACACACACACACACACACACACACACACACACACACACACTCAAACACACACATTGAAATCTGACATTCTGATCCAAAAGATTTCTCAATGAACACCAGCAGTGTTGAATTGAAGCTGGGTCCATTTCCCTCTTGAAATTTCTCTTCATTATATGCCCACTCCATTCTCATTGAGATTATTTTAATGGAAGGAATTCTAGCAGTAGAATCCCCAGCATCAGTAGAGCCACTGTTTTGGTCTGTGAAAGGGTAGTAGTGGAAAGATTTGTCCAAAAGACAGTTACCTAGGCCATCATATTTAAGTGCATCTGAGTCAACACTCTGACTTCTATGTATATTGTGTATGTTGTCAAGAGGTTGTTCTTTGGGAGGAAGAAATATATACTATAGTGCTCAAGTGTATAGAACCTGCTTGCAACTTACCCTCAAATGATTCAGAAAATATAATAATAATAATAATAAATAATACATAAACACATTAAGGTGTCTATCTACCATTTATCATCTGTCAGTCATTAGCTGTAAAGGATTGATATGTAGCATATACAAATGTGAATGGAACAACTGGGGAAATTGAGAGAGAAGACATAGAGGAATTAGTTCTTTGTGTTCTATCTATAATTTCTAGATAAAATTTTAAATGTTTCACTGTGGGTCATGTTTAAAAGTTTACCTCAGACAAAGCATTCCTTGAAAGTAGGAACTATTTCACAAAGTATTGGAGAGAATTCGTCCTCTGAATGGGAGGTTTGAGTGGCTAATTCATCATTCCAAACTCAGGAAAATGAGTTATGAATCATAGTTTAGTGATAGCAAAATAGAATGAAATTGTACTCACAGTTCCATAAATTTAAAGCAATATTAAGATGTCATAAATATATATTAAGCTGGAACCAATAGCTCACACCTGTAACCCTGTTAGCCAGGAGAGTAAGATCTGAGAATCATAATTCAAAGCCAGTCTGTGAAAAAAAGTTTCCAAGATTCTGTCTGACATGTAGCTCAAGTAGTTGAGCACCAGCCGAGAGTGGAAAAACCAAGTGAGAGTACCAAGTTCTGAGTTCAAGCCTCATAACAGGCATAAGGCAACATGCATTTAGTGAAGGCTCTTTAATGCATCCATCCACCCATCTGTCCGTCCGCCTGTCCATCCATCCATCCACCCATCCATCATCTGATTCTGGGAAACAGATGAAAAGGACTGTTTGGATATCAGACTTTTGCCTATAAATAAGACACACTTATTCTTTTTTAATTAAGTTTTTTATTGTGAAAAAACTGTACAAAGGGGTTACAGTTACATGAGCAAAGGAATGAGTACATTTCTTATCCAGCATTGTTACCTCCTCCTTTGTTTTTCCCCTACCATCCCTTCCCTCCCACCTCTTCAGCTATCATCCCTAAATTGTAAAGTTTATTTTGCGACGTAGTGTCTTGTACATCTCATTGTTACAATAGGTCAACCTGTATTCCTATTTAAATAATTTGTTTTTTCCCTTCCCTCCCCAAATTATACCAACATCAAATACAGTGAAAATGGGTTATACCATAGGGGAGGGACATACAAAGCCACAATACATTAGAAACAATAGCAAGGAAGAAAAAATACCCCACTGCATCCCTATTTTGGGGTTCATTTTGCTTAACATCATCTTATCTGACCTTTCTGCTTGTCTCAGACATATACTAGTTATTGCAAATGAGGGAAACCATGGGACCTATGTTTTTTTTGGGCCTGGCCTACTTCAATTAATATAATTTTTTCCAAGTCTTTCCATTTCCTAACAAATGAGGCAATGTCATTCTTTCTGATGAAGGCATAGAATTCCATTGTGTATATATACCACATTTTCTTGATCCATTCATCTACTGAGGGTCATCTGGGTTGGTTCCATATCGTAGCGATGATAAATATGCTGCAATAAACATAGTTGTGCTGGAAGCTTTAGTATGGTCTTGTTTGTGATCATTCGGGTAAATGCCCAGAAATGGGATTGCTGGATCATAAGGGAGCTCTATGAAGACATACTTATTCTTCCCTTAGTTATCTTGAGTTCAGCCATATAAAATGTCATGGTTTATAAAGAAAAGATTGAATGAGCTCATTAGTTTCTTCTGGTATAATTTGGAAGTTATTTCATTAGACATATTTTCCTCTTTTCACCTGTTTGAAGTTATGAGTCTTAAATATTTTTTTTTTTGGTCCAGTCATGAGGCCTGAATTCTGGGCCTGGGCACTGTCCCTCAGCTCTTCAGCTCAAGGCTAGCACTCTACCACTTGAGCCACAGTGCCACTTCGGGTTTTTTTTTCTGATTATGTGGTGCTGAGGAATTGAACCCAGGGCCTCATGCATGCAAGGCAAGCACTCTACCACTGAGCCACCTTCCCAGACCCGAGTCTTAAATATTCTGATTCATATAGACAGACCTCCCTCTAGTCTGTCTGCTATGTGTTCAAAGATTACGGTGTGTATAACTCCAACTTCATACTTAATTAACTAAGGAGCCCCTTCTAAGAAAGGAATTAAGAAGTGTTGTCTTATAAGTATACGTAAATGATTTGAATAGATGCTTTAAAGTTATGAATACCTCTTAGTAGTACTCCTTCTCCTAATTGTGCTAGGCAGGTAGCAGAGGCTCACTTGTCAACATCTAATAGAGCTGGAGATGTAATAAACTGTTTTTGAAATAAACATGTAGGTTCATTTATTTAAGACCAATTTTTCTACAGTGAAAAGAGCTTGTCACATTAAAATAGAATGTGTCGTGATTTTTCAATACTTGTTTGTAGGATGTAGATTCTCAGTGAGCATAAATTAACCTTTGTTCCTTTTCAGTATATTTCCCTCTTATCACTCAAAATATGGAACAAACTGACAGAGATAAATTGGGTGAAATTAGTCCATGCTCCAGTGGAAATTTAACCTTTACATTCTTTCTAGATGTATGTCTCTGTTTTATGTGCTTATCATTTAGAATTAAGAACATTTTTTTACTTTAAAAACACATCAAATATTAAAAATAAAAGCGATGGTTTCATAACTGTAAAACCTGGCTTTTTTTATGTGTATGTGTGTGTGTGTGCCTTTGTGTGTGTCTCTAAATATACATTTACCTATGCATGTAGTTACAATAGGGGTAATGATGCTGCTAAAATTTATACAAAGACACTTTGGTTCTTGCAATTTTTATTTTTTCTAGGAGCAAAATAAAGGAGAAAGAGATTTGTGAAAATATTTTAAAGTTTTTCAGTAATATTTTATGGACAATTGTGATATTTTAAAGAGCTTAAAGCAGTAAGGATAAATTGATGTTTGTTGGTTTTACACTCCTAAAATTTGCATATTCCTTGAACTTCTCTAATATAAGGTCTGTACAAGAGCACTTCATTAAATAGCCTTAATAAGCGTGGCACCATCTGTAATCTGAGCTACTAAGGAGGCTGAGATCTGAGGACTGAGGTTCGAAGATAGCCGGGGCTGAAAAGTTCTTGAGTATCTTTTCCAGTTACCTACCAAAAAACTGGAAGTGTAGTGGTGGCTGAAGTGACAGAGCACCAGCTGTGAATAAAAAAGCCACGTGACAATGTGAAGCCCTGAGTTCAAACTTCAGTACCAGAATAAATACCAATTAATTAGAAGATAACCGTCAACAGTGGTCCTCATGTTTCTCAGTCCTCTCATTAAGGAAGAGCCCTATTTGAACACTTACAAGTGTTAACAGCATCCTTGAAAAGGGCTTTTTGAAATGTATACATTGACTTTATTACTTTTGTATAAATTTAGCAGAAATAAAATAGACACATTTATTTGATTGAGGTCAGAACAGATTTTCCATTTCAGAGATCACTGGTGGCTAAAATAATCTGCTCAATTTTTGATTGCCACTAAAGTGACTGATTCTGACTACAAAATGTGATAAAAAGCATGCTTTTTTCCCCATTAACAGCCCATTTGGAGAGAAAACCATATAGAATTGTGAAGTGCACATAGAAGCAATATCAATGTGTGTTATCAAGTTACTTACATTAATGGAATTAATTCTGATATAATTTGGTGAATAAATTATCTCAATCTGGTCTTTTTTCCAAAAAAAGAATGCATATTATACTATATATAACATGTGGTATATACAATATTATACATACTTAATACATATATAAATTATATATTAACATCCATCTCACTTTACTAAAAATTCCAGTGAGGAATTCTCTCCACAGTGAAGTCTGATTGTTGTATAATTTG